AGATGCCTCGGAATAGGACTTGGTGCTGTGTAAAAACAAAAGCTGAATAATCAAGAGCAATTGGTCCGTTTTACCCCTAAAACCTGGAACCCAGCTCAACAAAACTATTCAACAGTAAAAAATGAAATACTCGCAATTGTTCATGCCATTACAAAATTTCAAAGTGATCTACTTAATCCATCATTCCTCATAAGAACTGACTGTAAAGCAGCCAAGGATATCATTCAGAAAGATGTCAAAAATCTCGTATCAAAGCAAATCTTTGCAAGATGGCAAGGTATTCTTTCTGCCTTTGAATTTCCTATTGAGCATATTAATGGTAATACCAACTATTTGCCTGACTTCTTGACCCGAGAATTTTTGCAGGGAGGGCAGAAGGAGCTAGCAAAACCAAAAATAAATGATGGAAATAGTTCCTAGTCCAAGACCATCCCTGGCATCTCCATCAACACCAAATGCTTTAATACAGAGGCAAATACAAGATATTGATATATCTCACCTCTAAACACCAATAAGCACTCAAACTCTTAGTGCAAAATTTATATTCTTAGAGACAGCATATATTCCCTTGCTCAGTCCAAACATCCGACTGAAATAACTGCTTTATACCTCAGGCAGCATATGTATCTTAATATGGGCGAAAAAAAGCAGAGAATGGTACGAATGCATCCTGATAGAAACAGGATTAGTTTTTATAGGTCATCATTCCAGAAATAATGATAATGAAATAACATATTCAAAGTTCCAAATCAAAAAAATTATAGCTTACAAAGAATGGGGATCGGATCCTTTAAAGCCAAGGATCATGAATACGAAAGGATTTAAAATTAAATCCTATCATTACTATGAATACATAAAGGATTGGGAAGAAGCCTTTTCATACCAGAATACAAAAAATTCCCATAGCTGGTATATTCAGTTCAAAATAACTGAGCCAAATAATTTTCCAAATTGGTTTAAAAATTGGTTCTCCATATGGGGATCCACAAACCAAATACTACCAAAAGAACTGTAAATTTCACAGAGAAAATTCTTTGAGTATAATAGAAAGAGTCTAAAAAGAGACTGCCACATATATTTTATGACCTTATATCAGGTCCTTTGGATTTTAAAATGGGAGTATCAGGTCTCAGCAGATGATATGGATAGATGGGATTATATCCCCGAATTAAGACAAATCTATATCAAATGGTGGGATAGTTATAAGAATGACTCCTTAAATCCAGACAAAATAAAAATGAAGTTTATACCTTCAACTTCACCCCAAAAGATGGAAATATCAGAATATGCTGCAATATTTCAGCAACAAAACCCCAAACTATCCAAAGAAGAGTTTAAAAAGAAACTCTGGGAAGCCATAGAAAATAATGAAGAAATAATGTCCACCTCTACCCAAAGTGAAGACCAAGAAGATTATAGTCCGATGAACAATGATGATTGCGCCAGAATAAAATTTTCTTCCAAATAAAAAAAAATTCAGGGGGGACCAGAACGACTCCAATCAGGAGACGTGTAGCAGTCGACAACATCTTACTGTAGCCACCAGCCGACAGCATCTTACTGTAGCCACCAGCCGACGGTCCACTGTAGCCACCAACCGAACAAATCTCACTGTTGTGTCGGTGCGGACTTCAAACATCTTCAAACCCGCCTAACTTCAGAGGCTATAAAATGGGAGGACTCCGCTCATTTGAAGCATCCGGAGTTAGCCTGAGTTTTCCTAAGTGCTCTCTGCAGCCCTCTCTCTACAGTCTTCTTTCTCTACAACTCTCTACAGTCTTCTCTCTATGTAACTCCCTACAGTTTTCTCTATTCTCTCTCTAAAGCTCTCTCTGCTTTCTGCAGCCCTCTCTCTCTACAGTCTTCTCTCTCTGCAACTCTCTACAATCTTCTCTCTCTCTACAGCGCTCTCTCTACTGTAAACTTGTGAGATTGTTTACTTTTCTTTTATGTAAAAGTATGAGATTGTTATGTGTAACTGTTTTTGAGAAGAAGTTCCTGACTACATCCCGGAGCAGCTAAAATTATTTACCAGCTTTTGTATTTGTCAAATGTGAGTTTACTTTTTACGTATTGTGTTCTGTTGTTGTATTTGTTTCTGTTAATGTTTTACTGTGTTATCTCTTGCTTTAATGTTTAATTCCGCTTTATGTTGTGTTATCTCTTGCTTTAATGTTTAATTTCGCTTTATGTTGTGTTATCTCTAGCTTTAATGTTTAATTCCGCTTTATCGATTGGTGGCTACAGTGGACTGTCGGCTGGTGGCTACAGTAAGATGTTGTCGACTGGTGGCTACAGTAAGATGCAGCCGGCTGGTGGCTAAAGTTAAGTCAGCCTGTTATTCTAGGAACTCCATTTTTAAATATGCTCTATCCAATTAAGATTGATGACACAGGGATAGAAGCCCGTATTGAAGGGTATAAGGTTAAATTTACCTTCATTGAAAAGCCCAGAGTCCATGAAATCAATAATGTTAAAAACAAAATCTCTTCTAAAGAAAAATTTCAGTATTATCTGAAAGAAGAAATAAAATACCAAAATATAGAAGAAAAGTTATCTCTTCTTGAGATTCAAAATAATATATATAT